TTATTATGATTACCGTGCCGATTCTGTAACAGAGAGAAAGGGAAAGAGAAAAAAGTAATATATATATATATTCATTTCAATTATGTCATTCTGATGTAAATATAGTTTATAAGATTCCATTACTTATTTGTGTGATTTCGAGTGATAGTCCTTATCGGAGATAAAGAGACAAAACTTTATATTCATTTTCATTTTTTTGTGCTACTCATAAGAAATATTCCGGATGATATCCTTGGTTTCAAATATTGTAAAAGGGGAGGGTAGGGCCATCTGATCAGGTTATTATCTATATCTTACAGAGAGTCCGTCTTGTAAGAATAGCAATCACACACGATGATAGATAGATTATATATAAGAATTATTAAGAATTGTTTTAAAAAAATTCAATTAATATATATATGGCATCTAAATTAAATGAGTATAGTATATGATAATAGATTAAATGAGTATTTGAGTAAGTTTCATATAGTAATTTAGCAGAAAGAGATGTGAGGGTTTTGTTCATTTATATAAATATATTTATAAACCTTTTATATAAAATTTGTATATTTTACGAATTCGCTTTTCGCATTCAATCCTAAAATCCTATTGGTTCTTCCAAAATGCGCCAATAAGAAGCAACCAATAATTATTGAGGCAAATCATCTATATAAGCCATATAGGCGCAGAAAATTTAAAAAATATACGTGATAAAAGCGTTTTCGCCCTCTGGCGTGGGTAACAGAGCTACACTAGGTTTTCCTCAAAATCCATCAAACTGGATAGTTAATTAGGGGAAGAAAAATGAGGAGCCCTTCACACGTTTGTGGGCAAGCCGCACGTACTTGTAGGCGCAACATTTTGAAAAAAGTTGCTTAAACCTCTATAGGCTTAGTAAAAAGGAGTGGGGTAAAAAAAAGAGCCTATTCCCGAGAACTACAGTATAATTTAATTACTTTAAAGGTGGGTGATGGCTGATTTTAAGTTTAAATACTTTAGTGTAAGTTTTGATGATTACTATCACTAATGAGATTTAATGTTCATAGAATCTGTAAATAAATATGATTAAAATAAAAAAATTCGCCTAAACAGTATATATATAGTGTTATTTTTTTTATTAATGATTCAACCCATACAATACAGTAATCATAGTTTATGTTCAATTTAATGTAACCATTACCAAAGAGAATTGAGTGGGATAAAAATATTTATAATAAAATTGGATGATCCTTTGCTCTTATAAATTGCAAAAGGATGCAGATATATACAATCAAGAGTGGAATGAAATGTTCAATAACCTAATTGTGTGATCTTTTGGTTCTTATATTAACAAGAATAAGGAATTCAATATAACTAATTGTGTGATCCTTCACTTAACTTTGGATCTGATATTTACTCAACAAATTAAATTAGATCAAATGTAACCATTCCAGTTTAGAAGGTATATGCGTAAGTAAACTTATAATTGCAAAAGGAAGTGTCAAGTGTAGAATATTATAATAAATCTAATTTTATGGTTATTTTTATTAACTGAGTGGAATAAAAATATTCAATATAAGATATTCTATATATAATCAAGAGTGGAATGAAATGTTCAATAGACAAATTGTGTGGTCTTTAGATCTATCTGATCAGTGGCGTAGCTAGGAATTTTTCTTAGAGAGGGTCCATACATATAAAATCCTGGGGGCTTCGCCCCCAGACCCCTTTTAACGGGCCTTCGACCCTTTTGCCCGGCCTTCGGCCGGGTTTATCTTAAAAATCATAACCACATCATCGACAATATATAATAAATATATTTTTTAAATGCATGAATAATATGTTATTCTTTATAATAATACTACCCAGAATAATTTCAATAGTAATATAATATCCTTCCACAAACATCAAATCCAGAAAAATATAAATATTAGTGGTATTTATTTGATATAAAGTCACTTTTAAGTCTTTTGAACGTATAATCTAAAAAAAAATTTTGCTCTGGGAGAGGTCCAAACCCGAAAACCACCCCCGTAGCTACGCCACTGTATCTGATATATACAACAAATTTAAAGTAGATCAAATGTAACCATTCCAGTTTAAAGGTATATGTGTAAAAAAAAAAGATGTATTTATCTACATTATAGTTAATAAATGCTACTTCCTTAAAAAGGATTTATAGATGCAATATCATTACAGTTCTAAAAACATGTCCATAATTAGGGTTCCACAGGTACCAAAACCTTTCTTTAGGTGTAACTAAGGGATTTACAAATGCAAGATCTTTACAGTTCTATACATGTCCGGGTTCCACAAGTATCAAGTTTGCTTATTATATAGGAGCAATGACGTAAGCATTGGGGAGGGGGGTTTGGGGGATCAACATCCCCCATAAAAAATAAGAATTTTTTTAAAATTTTAATCCTAAATTAATAAAATAAATGCTTAAAATTTAAAAAACAACTATTTTTATGTTTTAAATTTATAAATAATAATTATACAGTTTAAGTATATGATTTTATATATTTCAAAAATAATTTTTAAATTATTTTGCAAAAAACTGTCTAGAAAAATAATCATTGATTTATTCCTATTTCAACAAATGTTTACATTTAGTTAAAAAACTAGACTATTCTGTTTTATTAAAGGTTATTAAAAAAGTTCCTGGGGGTATATTATTATTTTTTATTATGTTATTTTAAAAAATTTTTTGGTGGATGAAACTTTGCATTTTAAATTTTTTTTGGTGTTAATACTATAATTAAAGGAAGATCACATAATAGAAAAATATTTATAGGAAAATTACTATATTTTGTTGTTAATGCCTACAAAGTTTTTAAAGGGGGCGTAGGGATAAGGTAAATTTTTGGGATGAAACTTAGCATTTTAAATATTGGTGATACTATAATTAAAGGAAGATCTCATAAATAAATAAAATTTGACCAATTTTAGGAAAATTGGCATAACTTTTTTCTGGAAATAAATAATAATCTAAAATTTTGTATTAAGGCTAAAATAGACCCCACCTTTGAAGTTTAATATAATTTTTTAAAGTTTGGAGTGCAGGGTTAAATCGAAATATTAAATGACGCAATTAAATGTATTAAAATTTATACACGAAATATAGTATTAAATGATGAGGTGAAAGCATATCTTGATGAATTAAGAATCAATTCTAATAAAATTCCGCTAGAATGGTGGAGATTGAACGGGGATCATTTTACTGTGTTATCGAAAATGGCAACTGATATATTGTCAATTTAGGGATCTTCGGCTTCTGTGAGCGGTTGTTCTCAGTAGGAACATTATGATAATGAAAAATAGAATGTCTTTGACGGAGGAAACTATTAGAAAGACTTCATGTTTAAAAACTGGTTATTATCAACGGATTTAGCATAATTATATTTTTTTGTGTATTATATTTTGATGTTTATAAAATAAGATTATTGTACATTTTTAGAAATTTTAAAAAATTTATTAGATTGAAGAAATAATTTAAATATTTTTTATAAGCAATTCTAATTCTAAAAATTGGACATTTTTGGCCAATTTGTTTGGATAACGTTATAAGAAATCATTGGGCTTTATTTATTTTCTGTAAATTTTTATATGCTAATGACAATTAGTTTAGAGATCCTAAAAAGTGTCATCATAAAACATTACATCTGTTAATTTTTTTTGCAAAAAATTATATATTTTTATAAGTTTTAGAAAAATTTTCGAATCGAACCATGATTTTATTGTATGAATATGAATAATAAATTATTCGATTCGTACGAATAACGCAAATAGTATTATTCGATTCGTTTTTTTGTAGGCCTAGTTCTGAATTTGCTAGTACTTTTTATTTCCATAAAACTGTAAAACAAATATTTAAGATTATTGCAAAGTTCTCATAAATTTTTTTAAAATGAAATTAAGTAAATTCTGGAAAAATTATCACCCGCGGTAATACTTTACCTTTAATCATCCAACATGGTTTCCATTACCTGCTCTTTATTTTTTGAAACGAATTTAAATTTATGTGTAGAAATTTTTTTGATACAATCATAACGATAACCAGGATAATAAAACGTTCAGAAGGGAAAATAGTTTCGTAAATATTATAGGTATCACTTAATCAGTGATCACATACCTAATACCTACTCATAAACATTATTTTTAATATATACATTAGTTTTCCATTGATCCTTATGCGAAATATTATAGTTAGATATGAAGTATAGTTACTACGTTGGAAAAAAAAATAATAGAAGTATAAGAGTTACATTTAAACCGCCTAGCAGCGCAATGGCTTTTTTTATGCTGATTGGATCGACATATAGAATGAGGTATAAATGAAAAAAAAATACGTTATAAGTCTGAATAAAAAGAATCCTTTTAAAATGCATATATTAAGTATTTAAAAAAAGTGGCATTATTAAAGAATTTTAAAGCAATGAGTAGCAGGTTTTTTAAATGATATTTCTTACCGTATACAATTAGGTAATCTGACTAAGAATTTAGGAGTTCAATGGAAAAAATGAGGTGGAATAAATAAGTGCAATATAATATAAAACAACTTACTATGAAAAAAAAATCTACCCCAATTTTCTTTCCAATGTTAATACTAATAGTTGATTAATAATGATTAAATTTTATTACACGTGGTATATCTTCGTACCTAATTATTGTCATAAAAATATGATAGGGTATAGCAAATTAAGTTAATTTACCATACCTTTAACCAATTCAACATGACTAATTTTTGATACAAATTACAATGTAGGTTTATTAAGAAATTTTTTTGTAGTAACAATAACCAGGATAATAGGATGTTATTAAATAGAATAAGTTATTTAGAACACAAGAAATTATGGGCTGATGAATTTTCTACTTAGCTCTTTTGAAGTAAATTTTAGAATAATTAAAAAAATATTTCATTTCGAAATTGTGCAAATTATTTTGTATACCCAAATAAATTATAATATTGAAATTTCTATATTCAACCCAAAAAATAAACGAAGAGATTTATTTAAATAAATTATAATATGGCCCTGAGATGTAACTTTAATTTATAGTCATTATATAATGTCAATATTCATCTTAAATAATTAAATATATTAAACATAAATATTTATAATAAATCGATTTCATTTTCCATATTTTGCAAAGACGAAAATTGAGAGATTCTTTTGTTGGCCTCGATTATGTGATAAAAAACTGGACAATCTAATGATATACATCTTAAATTATTATCCGGGGAGGAGACACACGTTTTACATACCTAAAAGTAAAATTAATAATATTGATAAATATAATATAAATGGTTATACCTGTGAAAGATAATCATATCTTTTAGACCATTTTCGTAATAGATTCATGATAATATATGTCGAATATTGAGGTTTCTGTTTACATTTTAAACAGATTAGGCCTGAAGACAATTTACGACATATAAAACAATGATTGCAGTGAAGGAAATGTGTTATAGAATCCTTCTAAATTTTAACAGTAAATATTTTAAAAAGTGGCATTATTAATTAAATAAAAAAGTAGCAGGCTTTTGAAATTAAATTTCTTATCATATACAATTAGGTAGTCTGACTAAGATTTAGGAGTTCAATAGAAAAGATGAGTTGGAATAAATAAGTGTAATATAATATAAAAACAACTCATTATGAAAAAAAATAATTTACCCCAATTTTCTTTCCAATGTTTATACTATTAGTTGATTTATAATGATTAAATTGTATTACACGTGGTATATCTTCGTACCTAAAATTATTGACATAAAAATATGATAGGGAGTAGACTAATAAATATTAATACCATTTTAAAACGTCGATGCCAATCAAACTCATAATTCGATTAATCGGGGGTATAAGTTGTTTGGTTATGTAGTAATTCGCGTTTAGGGTAGATGCTGGCATTTGTAAAAACTCTTGTGGGGTACGGATCAAAGAGATCAAGGGTAAAGTGTTGTTAAACCTATTATTTTGTCTTTGATTTAGTATGGTTTGATCAGGATTTACAACCACATATGCTACCTGTTATAACAAAGTTAATTTATATTTTTCAAATGCATTTGCAAACCCTTTCCTTCAACAATGGCTCCGCCATGGGATCAAATTTAGATAAACGTTTCGCTATCTCTAAGGAAGGTACACACGCTTTAGGCTTATAACCTTTTCTTCCACGGTATTCTCTCGCTATAATATAATCCTGAAGACTAATTTTGCCTTCCATAATTTTGCAGAATTCCATTTGTAAATAGTCTCTTATTTGCGATATATTACCAGTTTTAAATAAATCCGTGATGACCTTTTCTAATACCTTTTTTTAAAGGTTATTAGTTCATAAATATTAAAAATAAATGAGTGAAAGTTAACAGAGTCGAAAGTGTAAAATAAAGATTAGAATAATGAATAGAGGTATCGTTGGTTTATAATAGCGAGTAAATCTTTATTCTAAGAAACAGAAATGTTTTTTTAAAAAAATTAAATCTCAAACATGTATTTATTTATAATTTAAAGGAGACTTCCCCAGTCCTGCAGGTTAGAATTTACAAAAAAAATATTCTTAATAAAATTTTTAGAAAGATTTGAAATATAAAGCCGGTTTATTTTTAAAAAATGAAAGAAAAACCTTAGGTACTGCGGCACAATAGTCTCTTCGAACAGTTTCGATTCCTTTTGCGTCGAAATTTGGCTCTTTTTGGTTAATGTTTTCGTAAGATAACCCTACATAGCGTTTTTTAGTTTGAAGTATGCAAGGATGATACACCTGAGCGATTAATTAAAAATTAAATATAACATGAATATTGCGATTACATAATTTGTTTTATTCATATTATTTAAAATTTATAGTATTTCGACATTATTATTAAACATTTGAAACTAGTAAAAATTAAAACTTATTCACAAATATTTAAAATTATTTATTAGTATTTATCATATTCCTTAAATACATTTTATTTTTTTACTTATTTCTAGATATATAAATCATCTTTTAAATTCGAATTATCTAATTTTTTCTAGATTTTGAAAAAAATATTTTGTGCAATTTATTCTAAAGAAGAAACATTTTTGATCAACCTAAAATTCCAAATATGTTTGCTAAAAAATCTTTTATAATTTTCGTGGACTATAAAATTTCTAGACGAAATCATAAATTTTAAATATTCAAAGGTTCATTCAAATTTTTTTTAAGATTTCTGCATTTTTTAAAATATTTCTAAGAATTTAACTCAAATCATTATTCGTATGAATATAAATAAGAAATTATTCAATTCTTCTTTATAAATTTTACAATTATTTTTCCAATGTTTTTATTCAATTTGATAAATAAAAATTTTAATAACTGCAAAAATATTAAATTATATCATGAAATAAATTTTTCCATTAAATTTACTTTTTTATTAAATATAATTGTTAACATTTATTTTACTAATATAAAAAAAATACTAGAAATTTCAAAAATATTTAGAAGTTAAATTTTTTAATGATCCAACCCATGATCGTAGTCTAGTCATGTAAATCTTTCCTATAATTACAAAAGTTTCAGTTATATATTTAATGATATTTATAATATTTTTATCTGAAGGAATAGAAATGTATAATTTTTGTACTGATGAAATATTCTTTTTTTAGTTTATTTGTTCCTTTTCAATATTTTATTTAGATCGGAATATTATATGTTCCCAATTATTATTCATATTTTAAAAAACTTTGTTTATCATACCAAATTTTGATAACAATAAATAGAAATGAATGGATTAATAGGTTCAATGATTTAGTTAATGTTAAACTTCCGCTATTTTTAAATTAAGATTTTAGACAAAATATGACAATGCAAGTCCTCGCAAACCTTCCTGACATCCATGAGCAAAATCTCCAGTCTTGCATTATATTTTTGGCTTATTGGGTTAGCCATTTTTATAAATGGAACCGTTTAGTAGCACTAATTTGAAACAAAGAATATATATTTTTAATAACATACTTTTTCAAATTTGAGTTCTATTGGGTCCCTGAAAATTTGAGTAATTTCATGCGCGAGGTCTTCACCAATAGAAAACGCTTTGGCCTTGGTGGTATCCTTTAGTAATACAAATATACTGTCCGTGTCACCATAAATGACCCGCGCGTTCAAATTTTGTTTCGAGTTTATGTAATCTATCGAAGTTTGCAAGATTTCTCGAGCCTGATTTAAAAAATTTTTTTTAATATAAAATTCATAATTTAAAAAAATGATTAATTATCACAATTTAAGGCATAAAAAATGATAGATACTTTGCCAAGAATACTGTCCGCTATTTCGACACAAGGCATTCTTCCGCTAAAATAGGCGGACGTATAACCAAACGTAACATTTGAAATCATTTTCAGCGCCATTTGCCGTGTGTGCAACAATTTTTCGAGACCACTATTTTTCATAGAATTCTTTGCTTTCAAGAGCTTCAGCGTTTTTTTAACTTTTATTCTCGTTCCTAAAATCTGTTCCAACATGTTAGGTAATACACCGATTAATATATCTTTTCCGACAAAACCCACTCCCACAGGTGAAACGTGTGTCGAAGATTGTATTTTCTATGTGTATAAAATAATTAATATTTTTTTTATAAAAAAAATACAGAACACAAACAAATAACCTCTAGAGCTGCCATATCTAATTTTAAATCAACGCAACCAAACTTAAATGGCTGATCAGATCTGGTCCATTTATCAAGATAACCCAAACAAGTGGTGTAACAATAATTGTATGCTATAATAATAGAAGGATACAAAGATTGAAAGTCGAAAACGAGGATAGGATCACTGTAAAAACCAGCTTCGGGTTCCAAAATCAATGGAATCATTTGAGACATCTGCATTCTTTATTTTAAAAAAAATTATCAAAAATTTGAACATGTGTCCTTATTTCTCGCTATATTATCAAAATGTTAATAAAGTTAGTGACTTTTAAACTTAAATACAAGTAATATTTTAAAACTAAATAATTTATACTAGTTTTAATCTATGATCTAATGTTTATTTTCTCTGGAGAATAGTTAGTGGCTTTATAATGTGCCGATTTACCGAGTTCGTTGCAGAGGAGACGGTGAAATAGGTATGTACCCCTGAGATTTGGCCAATCTTAACATCATACTCTCTACTCTGTACTGGGAACCACGGTGCAAAACATCGTCAAATTCTATGCCGTATAACTTAGCGAATTCGCTTGTTTGTTCAACAATATCCAACTCGTGCAACATGGCATGCACATAAACCGACCTAATCAAATGATAGTGGTAAACACGCCACCTCTGGCATGGCTCATTGTACCAATTCGAAAGCGTTCTTTTTGTTATTTTTTTTTGTGATCATGGGGGATTTTTTAATTTTTAAATCATAAATCTTTAGTTAAATAAAACGTTACTTGTGAGAGTATTTGGATGTGCGAAGGTGTAATAAATGAAACATTACATTTTCAAACGTGTAATTATTTAGGATAATGAGCTTTCGAATCGAACGCCATACATTTATATATATTCTACCGACGATTTTTACATTGTATTCTTGATAATTATCCAAATTTTTTTGGTTCACCTCATAATCATGTTTCTGATTCGTAGCATCATTATCTATGTCCTTTTCGCTCAAACAATTTTCGTTATTATGGTTAATACAAACTCGTGATAGGTAATCGAAGGGTTTCCTGACTAACCCCAATTTCTTAGCTCTTGCACATATATAACCCCAAGATGATTTCTCATTTTCGTAAGCAATCAATATGTCTGGATCGTGTGTCCTAGTTACAAGATCGTAAAATTTTTTCAATAACTCTATTTCTGAGCTGGAGATATAAACATTGTCCATAGGTAAGTTCAAAATTTTTGATTTTTTGTCGCTCACAACACAACACCCATTTTTGAGATTTAACTGGCAAATCTTTTCCCGCATGTCACCAAAACCAATATAGTCATCAGATGCGGGCTTGAAGGATGTTGTTCCTTGAACCTGTTTTCGATATTCATCGGAATCCTCAAAATAACTATAGATAATGAGATGAATCGCATCATGTTGAGAGTTTGGGGTCATATCCCCTCGAACTTCTGTATGAACTTCACAACTAAGCCATTTCAGATAATTTTGCTTACATTATAATTATATTAGATATAAAATTATATAAGGATTAAACCTTGGCATTGCTAGGGAGGATGCAATGAATTTAACTTTTAATACAAACATACAAGGTTTCTTGAAGAAAATTATGAAGGTTATTTCAAAAATGGGTTAAAAGTAAAAACAATTTTAGGCATTATCATAATTATGATGTAATCATACTTTTTGTAAATCAAATACTTTGATTGGAATGTCGGATACCGCTAAAGATGGAACAGTTAATCCTTTAATATTAAGTAAGGACGTTTCCCGAATGATGCTCATATTAATCTATGATAATAAAATTATGTTTTTTTAAAAAAAGAAAGAAATATAGTAAAACCCCGTTATCGTTTTAGTTATAAGCGTAGCAAAAGCGAGCTACTTTCAGGGGTAACGTGTTTCAATCTAAAAGAAATTATACTTTCTTACAATAAAAATTGCAACCATCTTTTATTTTTCATTTAATAAATTTAAAAAGCTATTTTTTTCTCTCGTACTTCCCTTCTTTTATCAGAATGATATTAATTTTTATTTAAAATTGTTATTTATTAATTTTTCGTCTTGTTTGCAACATTTTTTCGAAATTAAAAATCATTGTAAATTTAATTTTTAAATAAATAAATTTTTTTAAAATAATATTAATTCAATAAAATAGGGCAATTGGAACCGATAAGATCGTATCGATATCCGTAGAAAAGAGTGGTTTCAGTGCAATTCTGGAATTTAACCCATTATGATATTCGATTAACTCCTGTTTCAAATATAAATATTATTTAATATTTTGGTAGGTTTCAATAAAGATGATCTAAGCAGCAAGTTTAAATTTATATTTTATAAGTGGGTTTTAACTCATATTATCGCCTGAAAGGGTTCTCAGACTTTAATCACACTTTGAATAACGGCATAAACTCGAAAAGTATCCAATTATTAAAAAAATCTATCCCCCCCCCCCTTTTCTCATGAATTATCAACTTGGCTAATAATTTATAAAAAATATCATAAAATTTTTTTTTATTGCAAATTAAAATATTACAGTTTTCCCGAAAGACTCCGCAAAGGGCATTGAATTACTTTTAAAATTTAGGGAGACATTTTTGAGAACTTCATCTTTTACAATATTTACTGGGCCAGAAAGAGCTGGGGTTAACCACAACGTATCAGAATCGTGTTTTCTGGTATCATCGACGGAGTTTAGATAAGCTTGTAATCCAGGTTTTTTACTGGAAAAATTATCTAATATTTCCAGTTTATTCTTTTTTTTAAAAGATGATAAATTTAAATATGGCATATTATTTTATAAACAAGTCATAGGTGATTTAATTTAAGCCATTTATGACAGACTCCTGGTTAGTAAATACATTTTTCCTATACTGGTGGGGTTATTAAAAAGCCTACGATATTATGGCCCCTTTCCCTATTGGGTATTTGAGCCATAAAATCTCTGATAAATAATGATCGAAACAATATTTCGTGGATTAAATATAATAGATATCAGACTCTGCTTTTGGTCGAAGCTAAGTTAGGGTGAATTAAATGTAATTTCCTTTTCCCAATTTGCAAAATACTTTTAATAAAAATAAATTAACACGTGATTTAATTTTAGGTGCGTTAGAAGGTGAATATCCTCCAATAGATCGAGCAAAAATGTTTTTTCCATATAATTTTTAACAGTTTTCTTATTAAAGGAAAAGTTTAGAATAACAAGTTTTGGTTTAAATTTCTTCATATTTTTAAAAAAACTTCTTCGCCTAGATTAATATCTTTTATTATATGGATTATATAATATTTTATACTTTGATAAAATTTAATATACAAATCAATCCTCCATATATCTCAAACATGACTAAATCAATATTGCCTGTCAACAATGTTGTTCTTGTCATAATTCAAATTTAATAGCTATTGCTATAGGGGATGCTGAAGGAGCTCTAAAGAATGAAGAATATAAAAATCAACATTTTCTAAATGACAAATTTTTGGAAAAATATTTTAAAGTCAGATGTATTCAAAAAAAGATTGTAGACATATATATTGACTCTAAACAATACAAGATGAATTCTGCTTACAATTCCTATAATATCGATAGCATTATTTTGGGATGATAAAAGATTGGAAATAAATCGTAACCAGAGCTGAGGTGCATACTTTCATAGAGGAATATACAGAGGTTATTTATAATGAATATATAATTTCATATTATTTATATTTACCAGAGTTGTTAAAAGATACTTTTTAAATGGATCTAGATACAGATACATCATCTAAAATAATATCTAGATACAGATATTTTAACCAAAAATCTATCTAGATACAGATACCACATTTTTATATCTAGATACAGGATCTAGATACTTGTATCTAGATCCTTTAACAACTCTGATATTTACACTAAAAACTTGTTCATAAAATTAATTTTGATTATCAATATAAATGGGGGAAAATACCTTTTTAAAAAAAACAAGAAATTATTTTAAACTTTAATTTAAAAAAAAAATTAACAACTATTTTCAGAAATAATCTAAACTTTATCTAAAATAAAATTTAAATGTAAACAGGCCAAATTACATAAAGTTTCTTGAAAGGTAAAGTTATACGTATATACATATTAAATATATAAATAAATCTTAATTACATAGATATTCTGGAATATACTGGAGCGTTTAGATCTATAGTAAATGAAAGAAAATTAATAATAATTATGGCATATTTTAATAAAATTTCATACCCCTTCTCAGTAAAGGCTATTTCGTCTGTCGTGTCACAGATGTACCGTAATTTCTCTTTATACAAATTACTATCCAATAATTTTTTGGGTTTAATTAATAATATTCTCGTCCTTTTACTAAGTTTTCGTTGAAGTTTAGCCTTTTTAACGACAGGGAACTTTTCTTCAATTAAGGAGCCAGTTTGAGAGGACAAAATTTGTAGGGAAATATTCTTTTTCTTTACTGTATTTTTAATATTAAGGGAAATTTTGTTATGATTGGAAGTATTATTTTCCTTGGTGGGATCTTTGTTCGGTAAATCATGTTTTGATTTATCCTTGAAGATTGAATATTTTAAAAGTAACAAAAAAGTAAATTTATCCAACTTACGCAGAGAGTATGCCCAGTTTTCTTTATAATTTTGGGGTAAAAAGTAACATGTGAGTCCAATTTCTTGTTATCATCTGAATCATTTTCTATTAGTGAATTTTTTAAAAAATATTTCATGAATTTTAAAATATTATTTAGGCTGCGATCTAAATATCAAAAATATAATTAATAACTTTCGTAATTTTAACGAAAAAGAGAAATAAGCTATTTTTAATATAAAAATAAAATAGTATCCTGAATTATTTTTTCGAATTTAGAATTTTTTAAAGTTAGAGAAATTAATAAAATTTAGCTTAAAGTCTATAAATTTGTAAAATTTTAATATAAAAAAAAGTAAGCAATACTAATTAATTATAATAAAAAATGGGCAGATACTATATAAATAAAAATGGGAAGTATAAAATTAATTTGGTAGGAATTATAAATTACAAAATTTATAAAACTTTAAAAAAAATTTAATGGAAGATTTTGGGCATGTTTTATAATTTTATAAAATTACAAAAGTTTTGAAATTTTGAGATTTTTTTCAAAAATGTATTTAGGTTATAGCCTTATTTAAAATATTTTTATTAAACCTTCTATTGTCTTTTTATTCATATCATATTTACCATCAATTTGTGGTAAATATGTATCACAGCTTAGGCTTATTTGTTCGGATATTTCATCTTCATCATCGGTATCATACTTTGACAAAATGTCGTCAAGTTTTTCTAACCCATATAATGATACATTATGATCAATGTCTTCAGAATACAGTTGCAACATATGACCTTATTAAAAAATATATATAAACCATCAAATGTTTTCCTTTATTTAAATTCAATTTTAGCCAAAAAGTTGAAAAGTAGATATCATTTTATTGTAGAGTTTGAAAAAAATCCCCAAAAAATTTTTGAGCAAAAATCTTTTAATTTTTTTTTCGAGAAGAGAAATATTTGATCAAATTTACCTAAAAATACCAAAATCTTTTATAAATAAATCTTTCAAAATTTTCATGAACATAATATCAAAAATTTTTTAAAAAAGAGATTTTTGTTCATTTTTTTTTTCAAACTGGTTAGTCCAATATTAATTTAATAAAGAATTAATGAGGATATTGCATTATTATATAATTTAATTGTAAGGACTGGTTTACTATAATCAGTGCTATTTTTAATTAGGGCCTGGGGAGCATAATATCATTCCAAGAAAATGGAAAAGGGTATATAGTAAAATAAGTTAAGGAAGATCAAGTAGTAATTAGCTGAATTCATATCGAGTTTAGATACCAAATGTAAAAAATATTTGGTTTCAATACAATCTAAATTCAATCACTTTAAAAAAGAATTGGATTGTGGGGCAACCTGATCCAGTTTAGTTGATCTTCACTATGATGATTGATCTGGATATTCCATTTTTTTTTATCTTTAAGCTCTTAAATATAAATTTTATTGTAGAGCTCATATATTTCACCTCACCCAGTAAATTCATGCATATACAATTTTTGTGCCCTACTGGGTTGAGGTCTATTTGTAGGGCTCTAAGCTAGAGTCCTGCAGAGCAGACTAACCCAAGGTAACTTCATCAATAAAATATAGATCCTATATTTCCTTCTTATCCTTTTTTGAAAAAATTATGAAAAAATCAGGAGATAGTTTAATATTTGATTTCATATATTTTTTAATAAATAGATAAATTATCAAAGTTATTGCGAAATATTTAAATTTAATGCATAACATTAAATTATAGAATAAAATAGTTTGAGTTAAGATTTCTTCAAGCTTTTCTAAAAAAAATTGAGAAAAAAAAATTGATACCAGGCTATGTGTAAATATGGGCCTAAAAATAGATTCTATAGGTCTCTACTCTACATTTCAGGATGTTCAATACTCCTTTTTATACTTAATTTTGTCCTAGCAAAATGTAAAATATATTGTGAATTTGAAATAAATATTATGTTCTTGAATTGATGGAGAAATGGGAATCTTTTTGGCATATTTTTTATCATATTATGGCACAGTTAGTCAAACACTAAAGAATAATCATTATTTTAGTATCAAATAGAAGCCCAGCTAGATCAAGGCTTAATTAATTGGCCTAGGTGTGACTGATTATTCAATACTTTATTTCCCTGCTAATTAGAAAAAAAGAAAAAAACAAGGATATTAACCTATATTATGATATTATATAAATAAAAATCTATTTTTTGGTCAAAGCTCTAATGTATTTCAAATAGAACATGCAAAATTACTTTAATATTCTTAGGAAAACTGTATCCCTCACAAAAACATGATAGACTACACTTTATTTGAAATAATACGATAATGTAATACTATAAATTATGATATAATTTACTTAAATTGTTAGATGTATTTTGAGATTTTTTATCACAAATTGGCAATTCAGAATTTATTTTTTTTGATTGAATTATATTGAGAACTGTAGATTCTGACACTAATGGCTTGACATTCAATCTTTCTTATAAGTACAAATAAAAAAATTAATTTAAAATATATTATACCTACAGATGAACTTATACTATTGATCTCAAAATATGTTCTAATTATCTTGTCATCATCTATAATCTCTTGAAGACCTGGGAACATTTTGTCATTTATTGAATTCAAGATATCAACAACTTTTGCATCTATCTCTAATGGGCAAAAGCTCATTTTTCTTATAAAAAATAGAATATATTATAAATATATTATATACTTCTGATCTATAATATGATTGCCATAATTGAATTCATCTGAATGTATTGACACATTGTTACGAGTTACAAATTTTTTAATATTAATATAATTCATACCAAAAAGATTAAAATCTAAAAAGAACTAAATAATTATTAATAGCTGTTTTAAGAAATTATTAATACTTTTAGGTGAAATGGAATGTGTGCCTCAAATGGCTGATGACAACCATCAAGTAATTCACCTTTAATTAATAAATCTGCGATTTTTTTAATGTCAGTTGGGTTGTAAAAAAATATTCTTAAAAAATTTTGACTTTTGTTTGTGTAACCATACATTGACCTTTAAATTAAATTTAATAATATAAAATAATTTAAAAACTTTGCTTCAAAATGGACAATGTTATGTACATGAGGGATCATTTGTTTTTGGTTCAATTTAGAATCAATATCATCTGCCATCTTTTGTAAAGTTAGAGTTTCAGTAGACAATTCCCATTGAATAGATAAATATGGGAAATAACCATGAAGATGTAAACAACATGTCTGACCTAAGTCTACAATAATAATGATAGAGGGTTAACTAATACCTTTAATATTATTTCCAAAGATCCTAAGAATAGGAACAAATTTTATAGATGAATTCCGAAATTCACTAAAATTGATATCCAAATTTGTTAATGGTGGTGCCATGTAGTAGTCACAATCTATGATTTTCACAGATAACATGTTTATACATTCAAATTACAAATAGCGGGTTTATGTATTTTTGCATTGTTTTTAAGACTGGTGTCACTTAACATATGGTATTATTAATATTTGTTTTTAAAAGGGTCATAAAATAAAATCTTAAATACATAAGATAGTAGGTTATATCTGTTTTGTTTTACCTTATATTGTTTATTAACAATCATTCTTTATTATAGGTTTTTTCTTTATATTAATTGTTCTAATTTATAATTCGTAATTATGGAGGATTTAATTAATTTGGAAAATCACCATTATTTGCATCAAGGATATGGGTTAAAATTTTTTTCATCTAATAAAAAGAGCAAGCATAGTTTTTAAAGGTTTCATTTTAAATGGTGCTATTTTATTTATATATGACATTTATTATAAACGACTCGTTTTGAATTTAAAACAGGCTAGCTCAATATTTTAGCCAGGAAATATTTCCTAAATCTCGAAATTTTGCTAATAAATATCCAAGCCTTTGTGCCATCTATGAACAAAATCTTCAGGCTTGCTTAATAACTTTCTGGATTAAATATTGAGTTGAATGTTTTTAACGTCTCAAATCGAGCCAACAGCACCACCTTGGAGATTTAATTGATCTCCAAATTATGTCACTATATAAAAAAGAAAATATAAATAATTATATATTTTAGAATTTCGTCACTTTTTTTATTTAAAAAGATGTACAATATATATATAAACCTACTAATTAAAATCAATTTATTCATTTTCACCTTATCAGAAAGCCAGAATGTGTCTGATGAATTTTATCACTCTCAACTAGAGTTGTTAAATTAACCCACTACAAGTAGCGCGCTATCTTTTTTGCAGCTATAGCACGATACTTTTTTAATAATAAGCAGAGTGTGCTACTCTTTCTAAAACAACAAGAAAATTAAAATATAATTTTCTTTATGGATTATAATTATATTATATTATTCAATTTTGAAATTAAATCATCTATTTAAAATGTTAAAATTGTCTAAGCAAATGGATATCAAGGTAATAAGTCCATGTGAGATAGATAATGTAAACCCATTAAATATCATTTTAATTCATTAAATATGCAAATGAGTACCTTTGATAATTTTTCATATTTAAAAAAATTAAATACCCCATTGACTCATGTGCAAATGTTGAGCGATCAACGCTTATACTTAGTAATTGCCGATTTAGACTTGGCGATGATAAAAAAATATACCTTTAAATATATATAATAGTTACTGCGATTTGCCTTATATATTGTTAAATTTTGCTGAAGTTGTAGAGAGTAAAATAAAATAACAAAAACAAGACTAAATTTATTTTAATTTTATTAATTTAAAAATATAACTAACTAAATCTAATAAATTTTATGTCTATATATACTTTACAAAATTCAATTTAGTAATAACAATCGAAGAAACTATTAAATTAATATTATATAAGGTGAAAGAAATATTAAAATCAGTTCGTTGGGTAAATATTAAGTTAATATAATGTAAAATAACAGGGGCGTCGCTAGCCTTTACAATCTCAGGGGGCTCAGCTAAAAAATTTTTTATGGGGGCTTCGCCCCCTACCCCTTTAGTTTGCGGGCCTTTGGCCCGCTTTTGCCGGCCTTCGGCCGGGTTTTATATTAATATATTATACATTTTTAAAATATGCTAACTCTAGACAATTATTCTGAATTATTTTGTCATTTATAATATTTTGCATACAAAATAAACTAGCATATAAATAATTAAAACAATACAATAAATTTCTAAAAATAATATTTTTTAATACAAAATCTATTTATTACAGTATAAAATATTTTCGATTGCTGATATAAAAAAATTTTGCGTAAATTATTACAATTGATAAAAAAGGTTAATTAATTCATACATATGCCTCAATTGATAATGGTTTTTAAAAACCACATAAGGCTATATAATTCTAACAATTTACATTGACAAAAGGTCATGACACTCACGATGGTAACCCATATCAGAATTTATTATGTTAGATAAATTGATAAAACAAAAACAGTAAAAATCTTTAGAAGAAATTATGCAAATATTGAAGTTTTGAGTTATTTACACGGCAAGGATGCCATATTAGAAATGAGATTGTAATAATATCAAAAATATATTCGTATTAAAAATTTAACTCAAAAATGTTTTTCAAAGAAGAAGAAAATAGCTTTCCTAAAAACACGTAAAAAAAAGAAAAGATATCTAATTTATTACATCCATTGTGGGATGAATAATAAGAAATTTAATTTTTACTAATATATTTAATAAATAGATGGCGTTAAACAATTAAATGCGAATTGTTACTTATATTTATTATCAAAATTTTAAAATTATTAACTATAATATATTATATAACTTTAAAAATGTCTGTAAAAATTGGCATTTTACCTAATATTTTATAAATAATTATATATTATAAAGGATTATAAACTATTTATCTACTTACTTTTTATAAATAAATATCTTATACTCATTTGGATTTAGACCTTGAAAATAATTTTAGGAAGAGACATGATAATTATAATTAAAAATCTAAATATAGTTGATTAGTGTTTTGAACTCCGCTAATTACAATATTAAATTTGTTAATTTTCAATTAATAAATGATTATATTTATTTAAGGTTATATAATAATTTAAATAATAAAAGTCAATTAAGCTTCAACTGTTAATGCTAAATTAATATTTAGTTATTGATATTGATATATTTTTAACACAGAATTTGATTGCAAGCTGACAGAGTGAACATATAATTTATATGTATAATCTAATCTAATAATTAAAATAGTATTCATTTAATAAAAATTTAGATAGTTTTATTAATTTTTAAATAATAAAATTAAATCTATATATTACTCAATAGAATTATAAAAGAAATAGTTCAGGGGGCAATTAAAAAAATTTATTTTTAGTTCAAAGGGATATTAAAGAGTCATTAAAAAAAAATTTGCTTCAGGGGGGCTATTCAAATTTTTTAGGAGGCTCGAGCCCCTGCGCGCCCCCCCCTAGCGACGCCACTGTAAAATAATAGAAAACAGTCCGTAAGGTAAATATAAATATTAAGTTAATAGACAGTGAAAAAAAAAACCCAATCCGATTATCTTAACAAATTTAAATGACTAAACTACAATAGCCGAATTAATTTTTAATGAAAATGACGAACGTGTTAATTGTTATAATTAATTTAAATTAAAACGACTAAACTACGAATTGCTATATATAATGTTAATGGCTCAACTACGAATTGCCCTATTTTATAATATGTTAAAATGACAAAACTAAATTACTGAATTTATTGTTAAATTAAAATGACTAAACTACAAATTATCGTCATTAATATTAAATTAAAATGTCTAAACTAAGAATTGCCGTAATTAATGTTGGATAAAAATGACTAAACTGGGAATTACATCATTTTGTCTTAATTATTTGCGCAATTCGTAATTTAGTCAAGGTAATTCGCAATTTAACTGGAAATTCGTTGTTTTTAGCAATTAGTAGTTTAGTCATTTCTTGGTATTAAGTTATTCAATATTACAAATACCTATTTAGAGGCTATTTTCAATTAAATTTATAAAAGATCAGAATATAAATACTAGATTTTACCTTCATTAGTCCCAACAATCTTCTGATAGATATAATATTAAAAAATATTTTGTTTCTTATCAAAAATTCTTGCCATTTACTTTTTTGAGCAGGATATCTTAGTACCAAATGATTGTAATCAGATTGATAAATAAAGAATTATCGCCCAATAAATTGACAGAACTGTTTCAATTTTAAAATTATTACGGCTTTATCAATTTTTAACATTTGATTTTTATATTATAGGCTTAATCAATTAAATTATTAAATTTGATTTATTGAATATATCTTCTTCTATCAATATTATCAAGGCATCTCTTAATCTCTGAAATTTTAGGTGTGGACATTCTAAATTAACAGTAGATAATAATTTATTAAAATTATGAATAATATCAATACATATTATTTTAAATTCAAGCTGCTTGATTTATTGAACCATATTTTATGCATCTAATATTAAATCCTATATTAATTTTTTTTATTTCAAAATATTTTGCAAATTTGAGGAAAGGAATTCCATAATATCATTTTTAATGAAATTTTGTTATTATCTTCTGCCTCTAAATTATCTTACATGCATATTTCTATTAGCGGTTTGTTAATTTTTTGAAATATAAATTTTTAATAAATTAAAATTAATTTTAATATTTCAGTTTATAATGATTATGAAATTCTAAAATAGGGAAGCAACGCGCTGCTTAGTTATTCTCTAAAATAGAGCGATCTACCGCGATCGCAATTTTCTTTAAAGTAGCTAGCGATTAGCTATGCTACTAAAGCGCACTTCTTTAACAACTCCAAAATTTATTTTCTTATATTTTTTATTAAATTTTACAATTTGACAAAAACATGAAAACATTAACAATTAGAATTAAGTTTAGTCAAGTGTTGTTCTTTAAAGCTGATGATGTTCAAAATGACAGCCATTAGCTCGAATACAACTCTAAAGCGATAATGCCATTTATTGATTGCACGATCAATTCCTTGATCAAAACGATTCCATTCTTCCACAAGTCGATGTTTGAGATGACCAACTCGCGTATGTGGGTTTAATAAACCATTCCTGAAAGATGCTCCATCTCTTTTAGGGGCTAAAGAGTAGGTAAAATAAAATTTGGAGTTTCTCTTGAAGCAGATCCACAAGTTCTCTATCACGGTAAGCTTAAGCATTGTCGTGCGGGAATATGAAAAATTCCCTACCTAAAAATTCTTTAATAGCAAGCAATAAGTTCTCACGGAGTAAAACGAAACGATAGTTACGCAACCTTATTTTTGTCCCATGGATCGATAAAGATGCTATACTTAGACTTAAAACTATGATGGATTTAGAGTGAACGGGAACAAAGGAATCGATTGGCTACAACTTGTTTTTTATCATTGGAACTACAACATACATTCTAGCAAGTGATAAAATGGTAGAAAGATCTTTTATTTGTCCAAATTTGAACATACATAATTTTGGATCCTGTTGATAGAATTAGAGGGAGCCCTGAAAAATTTGAAGTGTCCCCTCAAAATTTAAAAAATTAATTTTTTATACTGCTAAAAAAAAGGTAATTTTAGGTAATGTTAGCTAAAATAGGTAATTTTAAAAATAATTATAAAAACCCTGAAATTGTAAAGGCTAGTGACTAGAGGTCTGCATTAGGAGGGTAAAATTTAACTCGCCCGCCAATAGTTTTCAAAAAAAAATATAATTTGTCTAAAATTCTTTAACCGCCGCCCATTAATCTAAAATTTTTACCCGCCCGCCCATTATTTATAAAAATTTTTAAACCCAAGCCTGCTTATAAAATTTAATATTTCCCCAATTTTAGGAAATAATATTTCCTTAAGATCCTCAGTAACTTTGGATATGTGCCTGCTAACGGTTGTGGGGCAAGGAATAATTTTTTCGGCTTCCAATTTTCCATATGTGGCCCCTAAATCTAAAAATCTTTGTAAAATATTTACAAATTCTGGTCCTTGAATGGCTTGAAATGGCCAAAAAAAAATAAAAGAATTATTTATTAAAAATTAAAACCTAATATCTAACGCAATATTCTACAAAATTGGCGATTAGACCCGATTTTATCGTTTTGTTTAATTGAGAATTGTCTTTTTGAAAATATCCGGATATTTTTTTATTATCTATCAAATCTTCAAAATTTGCAGATGAACATTATTATATTTAAAGATAGATTCGCAATCATTGCAGCCAATCCAATCTAGCTTTTTGTCATTTTCATCGAAAATGATTTTAAATTGTTTCCACATTGAAGATTTGGTTTTATATTATTTGAATTTTCTTTTAATTTATATAAATTATTTTTTATTTTTTAGATATATTTTCTTTTTTTCATAATAAAATTTAAATAAAAATTAAATTAAAATATATTTATTTATTAAAAATTATGCTATAATAAATAAAATTTGTATATTATATAATAAAATAAAAATGAAAAGGGCAATTATAAAGATAAACAATTATTACTAAAATAAAATAATACAATGCAGTGCAAAGCAAACCCAAAAAAATGAAATTTTAAGAGAAAAGTTTTATTACATTCTCATAAAAGGAAATTTTTAATAGACAAAAATGTTTATTTATTCCAAGAAAAAAGTTTTATTGTTGTGTTTATTACATGATTAAAAAAAACGATTGGTACAATAAAAAAAGAAATATTGTTATAGATCATTTAAACAATTATTTTTTTTAGTTTGTTTTTGAACAAAAATTTTAAATTTCCTTAACCCGCCCGCCCATTCTTTAAATTTCTTAACCCGCCCGCCCAGACCGCCCATAGTTTCAAATTTTTTTAACCCGCCCGCCTGCCAATTTTCGAAAATTTTTTTACCCGCCCATCTGCCCGCCCAAATAGATGGGTGGGCGCGGCGGGCCGAAACCCCGCCCAGCAGACCTCTACTAGTGACGCCCCTGGAATAACCAAATTTGTAGAAAACATTATATAATCTCTCAATCTATAAAGTTTATTTAAATTATTTTTAGAATTGAAAGATTTATGCCAAAGTATAATTGGTATTAATTTAATTGGGGCACAATGTTTAAAAAAATCATATTATTTTTAGACATTACGTCAGCAAGGGCGGAATCTTCGAAATGTTAAATTTTTCCCTTAAAATATTGATAAAAGACTCAAGTGCAAGAATATAATTAAATAGTTTAAAATCTTAAGTTGGTAGATAACAACCTATTAAATAAGAGATTATTGGGTGATCTTGATAGGTGTTTGTCAACACGTTCTAAACAGGATGCTTAGCAATACTGTTAATGCAACTAGTTAAGCAATATAAGTTTTTGTTAAAGATAAAATATTTAAAATTTAATTTACAGGATAATATGTATTTTATTTTATAAAAAGATTAAATGAACTTCGAGCTTTTTATTTATAGTCGCATTTACATGACTGAAAAATAATTAAGCATTTTAGGTGTTAGCTTATAATAAAGTACAGGAGGCGAATGCCCTCCAAACCTGGACTCATAACATTCCTGGTCTCCTCCACTATTCTTGTAAAATTGAATATTAAACTTATATAACCTAAAATGATGCATATTTACAACAAATCCAATTTAGTATTCTAATTTTTTTTTTATTAGTTACAATTTACAAACAAAGTTAAAAGGTATCTAAATTATATTTATGAAGAAAAAGCTTTCGATATATATAATGACAATGATCTATGTTTTATAATTAAGGCTTTATATAAAAACATTAAGGTAATATAATAATTATAGAGTCATTTAACAAAGTGGTTTTAAATCTTTTTTCCCGAGTAGCCAGTAGGTTCTAATCATCCCTTTTCCCTGTAATAATAAATATAAATAGATTAAGTATTTATTTACAAATTACAACATTTCCAAAATAATATCTGTATTTGGTTGGGATAAGTATAATTCACGCGATTTGGAATATAATTTTTTAAAATTACTAAGGGCGACCTTTAAATTTGAAAATGATTATTTGACCAGAAAAGTATTTTAGCATGTGTAGAATAACACCCACTGGGAATTTCAAACAATTTTGCCTTCAACTTTTGAATCAATCAATTTTATTTTATATCAATTATTAAGGTATTTAAATGGGGAAAAAATATACAGTGTCGTGACAAGAAATTCGTTGGATAAGTACTCTAATACATTCCGGAATAGATTTCCGATCAAATAATTTTTAAATCAACTACAGTATTGAGAAATTCCGGATCCTCATGGATATCATATCTCATAGGATATGTCACAAGTGTGAATAATAATCTTAATCATCTTCCTTGCAATACTAGCCTAAATTATCGTGTGAATTTTTTTATTCACAATTAGTTGGAGCCAGGAAGAGCATCCGGTCTTAAAATATTATATTTCATATTTAAGAGTGAGAAACATATAAGAATGATTGAATAATAGATAATAGACTAAAATAGTTTGGCTGAGAGGAAATCATTAAAGGGTAATTTATTTCTTAAATTAACCCTATATTTTTATATCTGTTTGCTACATCTATCAGAAAACTTTTATAAACACAAATTTATTGGATCAAATGCTGCATTTTTCTCTTCCTCTTGGAATCCATCATTTCGCCCCAGCCGAAGACCCCCTCCCATCTATTGGCTGAAAGTCAAGATATTTATATAAATATTATCGCGAAAGTTAAATTTAAGTGGAGATGTTAAATCTTAGTAATTAGTGGTAGAGACGACTTATTGTGGCTAAGGAGTAAGGGGGCACACATTATGATTTGTACATATTATCAAAGGAAAATGATATGAAAGCTTTTTAATGATTTATATTTACACCTTGATATTTATAAATCCACGTTCTTCATATTCATAACCATGATAGGTATCAAGCAAACATTTTGTAAATTCGCTAATTTGAATTTTCATTGCTAAAAATTTTTAAAAAAAAATCATACTGAATAAAATGCAATTAGATATATACGTAGTCCAAATGATTCCATCCTTGATGCAATATTGATTGTATCACCAAATAAACAATAACGAGGTATTGCTGTTCCTATAACTCCAGCGGCGCATGGACCTAAAATAAATAAATTCAACAATAAAGAAAGATTATTTAACTATGATAGTTGAAAAAATGAATTAATTAATGTTATTCAAACCTCAAATTTAAAACAAGGGTTAAGTTATTTTAATTAAAAAGGGTTTAAAGTAAAAAATAGAATCTTACGTTATAAAAATATATATCAGAAGAAAACATGAGAGAGAGAAGAAAAATAAGACAAAATACTTTAGAATTATATTTTAAATCAAAATAAAATTGTAGCGCCAAAGGCATGGGCTCCTCCTCATAGTCCCAAGAGCATATCCAAAAGGCAGACTTTCTGGGTATTGATAACTTTATTGCTCCTTTAAAGGGTCGTTTTAATATAATCCTTAATTTTTGGTTCGATAATGACTTCTTTCGATAATGAATTCCTTTGCCATTCTTTAACATACGTTAAGCTCCATTACCCTTATCAAATAATCTCCCATACTTTGGTCTTTAGCAAATTTGAGATATTCTCTCCTTATTCCACCATCTTTACAAGATCTTAATCATGAAATTGCCGTGTCTCAGGATATCATTAAGCTTTTTATCGACAATTCTACTAATACCAGGTATCGAGGACATTTCTCATCATCAAATATTTTACCTCTTAAATTTTTTTTTATTTTCCAAAAAATTTGAACATTTTTAGGATCTCGTTGATATTAGCCATTGAGGCAAAATTATCAAAAAGTTATCATTTTTCCGAAAGAAATTAATAATTGATCTCGCTAACCTCTAAGATGGAAGGTTTTGAGCTTTCACATTTTTCAGATCTCCTCCCTTCTCGATTATTATATTTATCTTAAATATCGTAAATAATATCTTCTTATTTCATTATAGAATTCGCCATAAAATCATGAGCACCCCCCCCCCCCCTCAACAGGCCGTTATTCTTTGCCCCCATAAACTATTTTGCTCTGCCTTATCATAAAAAATTGTAAGACTTTTCTCATTGATGCACCTGATCTTCAACTATTAATAACTTATCAGACCTGCAAACATGCCCATGAATGGCTCTATGCCCTCCCCAAGAGTTTGATTGTTCTTTTGCCATCATACAGAGGAAAGTTTCTATTTGCCTGCTGGTTTTAGCTCGTACTTGTGACAGCGGTAGTACAGTTGTGTTGATATCCTGGATCACCATGATATGACATGTTTAAAAGTTTTAGAGAAGGTAATAATTTATTATTTTAGATATTTCAAAATGGGGGGGGGGATTCTCAAAGGGATATAATCCACACATTAGTTGCACTGCATAGAATAATTTTATGGAGAGACTGTATTCAAAAGAAAACCCTGGGGGGAGGGGATGTAAAATTAAACCAAATAAATTAAAATTTATATTTATTCGAGGAGTAGAAAAGAATTATTTGACAAGGGGAAAAATTAGTTTAAAAAGAAAATTGTACAAAACTCTTAAAAAAAATTTTTCTCAGCGTTGAATGTAGAATTTATACTTTGATATTCATTATGAAAAAAAAATTTTCCATATTATTTTCCGAGCATAATCCCTATTTTTCTTTTGGTAGAATATTTTCAATTTAGTTCCCAATTATTTCATTACTTTTTTATTCTTATGAATTTAAATAAAAAACAAAAAAAATCACTTTCAAACCTTATTTTTATATCTTCATTTGTAAAATATTTGATCATTTTAAATTTATATAATTTTCAACCTGAATGGATTCCGATCTTGAATTGTAGATCACAATTTCGTAGATAATCAATTTTTTTATTTTTGATCGAATTTATAATCTGCAATGACATGAGAGCTATTTCATTTGAATGATCATTTCCATTTTTTACAGGAACTCCCGATGCCACCATATAAGAATCACGTATAGTTTCAACCTACAAAAATTAACGAGCATTAATATTATTTAAAAGGAGGGGGAGGGGAGCATAAAAAATTATTTATTGATTTTGATTTACTTAAACAATAACAGGGTTTTAGCTGTAAAATTATGTGGTAAATCATTTATATCTTCACAACGTATATAATTTTTAAACATTTATGGAATTTCCAATAATATTTTATTTTTAAAAATATTTTTCATATCATTTCTTATGCTAGAAAATTACAAAAGACTTATTTATATAAAATTTATTTTTAAAAATGATTTTATATAATGCCAAGTATAGATTATTGTAAATTATGATGGAATGGTTTCCTCATCATATAAAACTAAATTGAAAGGCAAAGTAGGCAAATAATTTTATCTCAATAACGTTATTACTACAGTTTATTATTTTGATTTAAAGGACATTTAATTGAATGCAGGTGGGAATTTAAAAAGTTCGCTTTATAATCATATCTTGTAAGCCATTTTAAGATTCTTCATTTCAATTATTTTATTATCAAAGAATAGACAAATGTATTATTTTTTGTTTTATTTCGTTGACTAATAAACTAATTTTACGAATATATATTATAAATTAATTTAAAATCATAATACTTTATATACGTCAAAGTGCGAAGATATTTCATCCAAAAATGAGTATATATCGTTTAAAAGTTTAACAATCTAAAAATAAATAAAATCTTAATTATAAAAAAAAATGAAACATATTCAGGAGAATTTATTGAAGAAATTTCTGAAAATTTGTGAATTTCGCTGAAATATATGGTTACCGATTCATAAGATTGGCAAATGTATGATTGCCCTATTTTTAATGATTCAATGATTGCTCTAAATATGAGTTTTTTAAAAAATAAATAATATATTTTAAATGAGTTTCAATGCCAAGATAAAGATTATGTAATAGTCTCCAACAACAACCGATATAGAATATATATTAATTCTTTGATATTTATTAACATGTTTTTTTTATTTATCTTAAGGGTGCTGGAAAGGGGAGGGTATAGCATGGGTATGAGAATTTGTGGTAAATTTATAAATATTCAAAACTTTTAGTTCGAATAAAAACAACTCTATTCTCCTTAAAAGGATGTATGACAAACCTAAACAAGAATTTGTAACTTAGAATATTATTATTTTATAAATATTTAGAAATATATAAGAATTGTTTAAATATTTAAAAATAGTTTTATTTTAGATTCAAATTCATGTTTAATACGATGACAACTATAACACTAAAATCAGGATAAAAATGGAAATTTTTGAAGAAATGAGTAATAATATACTAAAATTATTAGCTATTAGCTAATAATAGAAAACCAATTTTAAAAAGATATGTTATAATAAAGCTGATGTGAAAAATTTCAAATAATAATAGGTTAAAAATTAAAGCTTTAAATTTCAAATAATATCACTCGTTCAATAAAAATTGTACATTGTTATGTGAGAAACTTTTTAAAATATAATATAAAAAATAATAATTATATTGATCCATTTTAAAAACGATTAAAATGCCACCTAATTAAAGTTTATGTAAATTTTTCCCAAAACAACTTATTCATTTTTTTTGAAGTAGAGGGGTTAATATATAGGGATAGAGGGCACTAAGGAATGGTAATAAAGAGACAAATTTATTATTATTATTATTTACTACACGCATAATTTAAACATGATCATACTTTGGTAACATAGCGGACAAAAGATTTTCCACCTTCTCTTGTTCACCTACAATTTTCTCCGTTTTTTCTTTAATAACCTTTTCTAGATTTTTGTTATATAATGTCAATCGTTCGACCATATTTTTCACATAATTAACATTAATATTCTCCAAATTTAATAGATTGTTAAATTCAATAGATATCTCTTTAAACGTTGGTCTCAAATTTGGATCTTCTACCCAGCATTTTTCCATAATCTCTTTCATCTCTTTGGAACAACTATCCTGCGGGATACGAGGACGATAAAGTTTACCCTTTCTTGGGGACTTAATATTTTTTATCATATTAACCAGGTCAATTTTTGAAAGGTTAAAATCAACAAAATTTTTATTATATGGTAGTGTCCTTAATATAATCTCTTGTAATACAATTCCAAAGCTATAAACGTCACCCATTTGTGTTCCTTTGTTTAAAAAATAAAAAATGCTAAAATATTTATTCAATTAGATTTTATATATGATCTCAAGAAATAAGAAGTAAATTTTAATAGGTTTGGCTAAAGCGACATAGCGCAGATAAGAAGTAAGTGATCTAAAAATGGAATGGGGGGTAATTAAGAAGTATCGACACATATTTGTTGTGGTAGGGGAGCCAAATTTTATTCATAACTAGAACAGGAGATAAATTTCTTTGCGAATGCTATATAAAAGTTACGTTCGGAGTTAGCCTGAACATATTTGGAATAAAAAGAGAGCAGGATAAGGAGAGCAAAGAGATTACATAAAATCTGGCATTGAAAAAGAGGTATCAGATCAGATAGAGATATGTATATATTATAATATTGTTAAGCGTTTAAAAAATAACTATTTACAGTTACTGGTTACACCCTTAAAAAGGCAACTATTCACAGCTATTAGTTATATCATTTCAAAAATAGCTAGTTAAAGTTTAATTAAAAAAAAATTACGTTAAAAGTTACTTTGTGGAAATGATATAACCCGTCATTTTTAATAATTTTTTTTTTATTATATAAAAGTTTTACAAATTTTAACCACAGGAAATTAAATGAAATCACAATTTAAATAAAGAAATAATTGTATACTGAAAATAATTTACAATATATTTATTTAAATTGAAAAAAAAAAATATGAAATAATTATATACAGTGATGTGATGATTTAATGAAAATATTGACGATTTAATTTAAACATATGCATATATGATTATAATCTTTACAAATACAACAAAAGAAATAATATAATTATATATGCATGTGTTTAAATTAAATCGTCAATATGTTTCATTAAATCATCACAACACTGTATATGGCATATTGGGATATGGAATCCATTTGGGATTCGGTTGATTTTAAATCAATCACTGAGATCAATTTTCAAATTTGACCAGAAATATATTTCATTATTCATAGATACCTGTAAATTTCAATTTGCTATCAAACTTCGAACTTTTAGTTATTTTGTATGAATTTTACATATAAATTAAAAAGATCCACAAAAGTTTAGGGCGAAAATTATCTAAAAATTTATTGGATATAGGTACTCTACAGATGCTGAAATACATTTTGTGATGAATAGAAAAATTGGATATGAATTATTTTAAAATCGCTCTAGGGACTTTTAGATGAATATCAGATGTAAATAAGTGAAAAAAATATATGAAGTGGGCGTCTCATAAACTGGTGTTTTAAATAAACAAAGATGATTTGAAAATGTGAGAAATGGAGTGGGAATTACATAAAAATGACAACATATAAAAGAAATATTACAAGTTAATAAAAAAAATGAAGTGTATATATAGCTTAGTTAGAATCAGGGCTGTGAACCAGAACCCTTCGAACACTCATATTTTATTAAACCAGAACTCTGAACACGTATCTCTTTTAAAATGTAGGGTTCAGGGTTCAAGAGTTTTTAAAAAATCTTTAAATTTTTTTGATTATTTTCATTTCATTTTATTTTATTTCATTTTATTTCATTTCATTTCATTTCATTTCATTTCATTTCATTTCATTTCATTTCATTTCATTTCATTTCATTTCATTTCATTTCATTTCATTTCATTTCATTTCATTTCATTTCATTTCATTTCATTTCATTTCATTTCATTTCATTTCATTTCATTTCATTTCATTTCATTTCATTTCATTTCATTTCATTTCATTTCATTTCATTTCATTTCATTTCATTTCATTTCATTTCATTTCATTTCATTTCATTTCATTTCATTTCATTTCATTTCATTTCATTTCATTTCATTTCATTTCATTTCATTTCATTTCAATACATTTCATTTCATTTCATTTCATTTTAATTTATTTTATTTTATTTTATTTTATTTTGTTTTGTTTTATTTTATTTTATTTTATTTTATTTTATTTTATTTTATTTTATTTTATTTTATTTTATTTTATTTTATTTTATTTTATTTTATTTTATTTTATTTTATTTTATTTTATTTTATTTTATTTTATTTTATTTTATTTTATTTTATTTTATTTTATTTTATTTTTATTTTAAATTATTTTAATTTTAATTTGATTTGATTTGATTTAATTTGATTTAATTTAATTTTATTTAAAAAAATTTGAATAGCATTAAATAAAATAATATGTAAAGTATTTATAAAAAAACATATTAAATATTTAAAACATCATTGTTTTTTTTTATTTTCAATATTAAAAAAGTTTTTTATGAAAATATTTTTCGTGGAATAGTTTTAGTTTATCCATTTTGTATAAGTTAAAAATTTTGAACACCGAACCCTAAACCTACCTAAACCCTTACCAGTTTCAGAGATTTTTCTCTGAACCCAAACCCGAACCAGAACCCTTTTTTAGAAGGAGGGTTCACAGCTCTGGGTAGAATAAGATGTAAAAGCTAATCCTTTAATCTGTCCATTAAAAACTCCAACTTTCATGCGTATTTGCACTGTAAGATCATATTCTTACCATTGATTGGATGTACATTCCTCAAAAATTCTGGAGGGTGCCATAATTTAGTCATTTCCTTTTGATTTGAGTGGAAAAAATTCTGCAGAGAATCTAATCCAAAATCAGTTATTTTAATTATAAATTTGGAATTCAAAAGACAATTATCTGATCGTAATCTTCCATGCGATTTAATAGGTGAGTTATGCAAATACAACATTCCCTGATTAAAATATTTTTTTAGGAGGATCAAATCATAATACTTACATTAACTAAATCCATTACAAAAGAATATTTCAGATTCATATCTATGTTAAGATCACTATTTAAAAATCTTTGCAGATTTCCTCGAGAACAATATTCGTACATGATATAATTAATATCCTTGTTGACGGACAATCCAATAATTTTAATTAGGTTTTCTTGATTAATTGCCAAGATGTCATTTAACTCATCCTTCATGTTGGAACTCATTTTAGAGAGGTAATAATTTATCTTTCGTAGAAATATTTTGTTATTATTATATGTTCCCACGTTATACATCCCATGTTTGTCATTTTCGCTCTAAAAATATTTTGCATAAATATTTATGGCTGATTATTATTATAAACTTGAAATGAAGATCGGGCTATGTCTTGCGTTGATATAATTATTTCATTAAAATTTATTAAACAATTTTGTAAGTTTTTATTGAACACTTTTGAATTTCTGTATTTTTTTTTAAAGAAAAAATATATAGTTAAAATTTTTTGCATAAGGTGACCGGCCCGATCCGCTAAATATTTTGTCCGGTTCGGCTCGGTCCAATTAAAAATATTGCCCAAATTTTGGCTCAATATTTTCTAAAAAATTTTCCCGAGACCTGGCCAAAAATTTAGGAAAAATTAGACCCATCTCTATTGTTAAAAATTTACTTAATATCTATTCTAAACTATAATCCTAATTTTTTCTCAATGTAAATTAAGACTTCTCCCTAATATCGATCGATTTCTATAACAATCTTTTATATATCATTGTGTTAACTTTGATTAATTTTAAAAAAAAACTATATTATTAGTTAAAAATTTTTTTAAAATAATATTAATCAAAATATTAGCCTGAAATTCAAAAAAATATATCAAAAAATGTCAGGGCTTTTCTTAAATATTTTTCTAAATGGTCAGCCTAGAATTTTATATAGAATAAAATTATTTGAAATTATTTTTTATATATAAAAGATATATTATTCTATTTTTTTTTATTTATAATTATTATATTTTTATTCATAATTATCATTTCATCCATTATAAAGCACGGCTCGATATTTTTCTATCTAAATACCCGGCCAATAATTTTTTAGCGACATTTTTATCCGATCCTGGCCCGTTTTAATTTATTTAAAAAAAATTCTGGCCCGCGGGCAGAGCTTTTGGGCGGGCCGGGCTATGTGTATAATTATGATGAATGATTAAATAAATAAATAATTATAACTTTATTTAAATTTATTTTATATCTTATAATATTATAAAAAAATATTCCATAACAAAACTAAACTTGTGTAAATTGGTTTTATAAATACTTTTAAATTTTACTCTGGTAAAACAATTAAAAATGTTAAAAAGTCAATAAATCCTTTTCTGTTAGAACCGATTCCTGAAAATTTTAAAACGGGTTCTGTTTATTATAAATCTTAAAAAGAGGATTCCAGGTTTTCTGATTACAAACTCTGATCATAAAACAATTACCGAAAAATCTTGACTTGACAATCCATTAATTATTAGCTGAGACCTGCAGGCCCGGCCCTAAACTTGGCTGAATTTACGGGCCGGGCCGTATTTTAATTTTCTTAGATACCGGGCCGGGCCCAAAATTTTCTTTTGAAAAAATACCCGGGCCGAATATATTAAAACCAAATATTTTAAATGGCCATTAGGTATAAAAATTACAAATACATATAATTTAAACATGGCCTGAAAATTTAAAACCCAGGTCGGACCGAAAAAAATTTTTGAAAAAAAAAATCCAGGTGGTGTCGAGTGCAAAAATGGTACCTTTGCAGGCCCCTGATATATATTAAATAATAAGTTGGTCTTGCATTTGGAAAAAATTTTGCCAGTAATTAGCATTAGGTTGTGAAATATATGTAGTTTTGCAGTATCTATTATTAACCTAATAATTATTGCTTAACAATAAAGGAAATAGCTTCCATATCTTTTTTTAACATTAAAATCGAATCTTACGAACTCACAATAATATAACATGTTTTATTCACTGATCTCCAACTAAATTTATTTGTGGGAATAATTATTCATCCAGTCCTATGCATAGAGGACCTCCCAGTGTGTTTACAATAAATTTTATATAATAGGAATTTTGCTGAAACAATATTTTTGGTGAAGGTCCCGGGGAGGAGTGGGGTTGGTAATAATACAATTTAATATATACTTTTTAATCAAATATCTATATAGGATAATTATAATTAAGATTGCTCCAATTAGTAACAATCCAATCGACACCTTTGAATACGAGTAGGTCACTGGGGGATTATTTTTAGCGAAATTTTTAAATTGAAAGGCGTTCCAGATAACATCCTCCTGCGACGAAAAATTGATAAGACTCTGATCAATATCCACTTTATTGCATTGCAACGATTCTAATGTTAGTAATGTGAAGAAACTATTAATTTATATTGAAAAATTTTGAGATAAAATAAGGAAAATATGCAAACTGATGGGCACAGGCGATAACAGAAAAAAAGAATACACCTTTATGAAAATTCAGAACAAAGAAGAAACAAAAGAAAAAAAATCTAATATATTTTTGGGGCTATTGATGTTACGATATATCAAAGTATAAACATAATAAATAATATTATTTATTTTTTTGATAGCCATAACGGATCAAAGCCTTTAATCTGGAAGAAATTAGTACATTTTTTTTTAAAAGCGGCTCATTTTGTCTCTCATTGGTAAAAATTGAATGCCTTTATGTTCCACCATAATTTATAAAAAAAAGGAGAGCGTTTAAATTAGTGAAAGCGTTCACGTTTATTCAAACTTTTACTACATTTAAAAAATGCATGTATTATTTAATTTATTAACAAAGACTTAATATTTCAACATCATATTAACCGTTCTTGGAGTCACTATTTTGGAGAATCTCCCTTGTCTACATCATTGCAATTGTAATATAATTCCAATTTTATAATTTTATAAAAATACTTGAAATAATAATATATTTATCTATAATTTTCTAAATTAAACCTTTAAATAAATAAATTATTTCTAAATGAATATTATTTAAACACCACTTTCATTGGGAACGTGTGCCATACTAAAATGACACTCTATAAGAGCGCTTGGGCAAAGTTGATTTATCATTTGAATTAAAAAAATTATTGAGTGAATTAGCATTAAAAAGTTTTCAAGCTGATATTATGATTATCATTGAATTCAAATCTTTATTGGTTAATCAAGTTTGTTTTCCAAATGGAAAATAAGCCTGTCTTTTAAAAGCTGATTCTGTGTCAGATTAATATAAGGCAGTTTGGAATAGATTACTGCTGCATTGATATTTTATCCCTTGTACAATAAATCTATTTTAAGAAATGTTAATTTTTATTTATTTGTGATTTTTAAAAGTATCGATGGATATAAATAGTTCCTTAACCAAATGGTTTCCATCGCGATTCTCATTTTAAAAGGACATCGATCTAGGCAATTTGCATAAATAATAATATAATTCAGGATCTTCGATCCTTTGATCACTATTAGCAACTCTGGATTCATACCTATACATAATTATATTAATTAATGAACATCGATATATCACACATACAGAAACGTGTGAATCACCATAGCATAGGCTAAAAGAGGGTTAAAATTTTGAATGCTGTATAATAATCCTTTTCCGAATAAATAAATAGAATAATTTTTTTTTGCTAAATCTTTATAAAGTTATTAATACAAGAGAATGCATAATTTAGGATTTCAAAAATGTTTAATGGAATAGAACAAATCCAAAGAGTTCACTCACCCTCCCCCCTATCTTACTCTGAAAATGGAATAGTAAAAAGGCAATATACTTCTAAAGAAATGTCATTTATTCACAATTGCTATTTTAATAGATTACCTTGATAAAATTCTTGGAAAGAATTATTCTGAGGCTTAATGATAAAAATAAAAAAAATCTTCCATTTTTCGTCTACCAAATTGTTATTATTTATTATCTTCAAGTATGAATAAAATCTTAATATCCATCTAAAGTTTAAAACGTTAACTGTTGAAACATAATAAATTTCTTGAATGGTGTTGTGAATATATTTTAGTTTTCGTGACATCGGCGACGATAAATTTATATTCGTAATAGAATAATTGAAAAGGTCGGTATTGTTGTTATTCGATTTTAATTTAGGGTAGCAGTTGAAAAAAAGATTGGAGTCTTGAAAATATTCAACCTGGTTTAAATCATTCCAAAAAAATGGAGATCTTCTATTATATATCCGATTTTCATCTAATATTAATATACGAATGTCGTAAATTAAAGCAACATCATTTGTTGTTTGCTTATTCTCAATTTTACATGCTTTGGCATATTTTTCGACCAAATAGGCCGTCATGCCTTTCAATTCTAATATCAATCTTGAATTACTAATATGGAATATAAAGGGAAAGACTATTAGAAAATTTATTAGTATTATGTATAGTTCTTTCGTTAAATACATCATAATAATATACAATATATAAATTTTTTAAATATATTTTTAGAGAAGAAATAATATAAAGTCAATAAGTGGTCAAGGGGATTCCATGATAAGCTATATATGAGTACTTTATAAATATTATAAATAAATTATTTATATGCATATAGTTATATAATATTCAATGATTTCTCTTAATATATAAAAATGTTATTAATCACAAATTTGACACAAATGCCATAAAGTATATCCAGAAAAACTTGCATATTCTGTGATTGCGGAGTTAATTCACTTATTGGTAATCTTATTAGAGCTGTAATCATCATAGAACAAGATTATATTTAATTTATATGGTTAAAAAGGTATAAATTGAACATTGATTTTATTAAGATAAGGATTATGTGAAGTATAATACCTTTGAAGGTTTTTCTGTTATTAAATTTAATATAGATACCATAATTTACTACAATTATGAAATGGATTTATATAAATTATAGATGATTGTTTTTTGCGAAATTAATTCGAATCGAATTAAACGAGGTCATTATTTATTGTATAAACTATTTTTATTCATTTTAAAAATATATTACAAAAGTAATTTTGAAAATAAAAAATGTAATAATTTCGACGAAAAAAATAATTTGAAATTTGAAAAAATAGAATAAAAAAATTTTCAATTATAAAATGCTTGTTAACCAACTATTAGAAATATTTTTTTTATAATTAGTTACGAAGTGTAAAATATTTAAAAGTTATCGAAATTTTTCAAATTAAAAGATTAATTAGAGAAACTTAAATTATAAGGCAAATGTAACGAATTCCATCGAGAAATTATATATATATAAATAATATCTCCTCACCCACAGACCCGTTAATCACTTATTCCATTGACGTCTTTTCTAGACCCCTTGCTTAGTAATTTTTCACCAAACCTGAATCATTTTTTTAGAACGGGAGTTCACTATTTGGTTATAAAATAATATATTGATAAAAAGATATCCCTAGGCTTACCTTTAGAAAACTTATCGATTGATGGCTATATGTTTGGTGTAGAAGAGACCAGGGCTAGGCGCATTTTTTGTCAAAATCATCATAGGCTTCAGAAAGTAACTTACAAAACCATAAGATAGCCTAAACACATGCCTAACCTTATACATTGCTAAGTTTTTAAAATTAGTTTATATTTCTTTTTATATTGATTTTAGTAAAAGTAAGCGCCAAACAAACCCCAAACCCAGTTCTAGATTCATTGATTCTATTAAGTCTCCTATAAGATAATTAATATTATTCCATTATTTTTATGGTAAAAGAATGATAAGCATAGGATGAAAAATCCTATGAGGTTGGGAAATAGGGATTTCAGGATTTCTATCTGCCATATTTGTCTAGGATTAATTTGGTTATACCGTAGCCAAATAATTATCAATTTCCAGTATTTCAATGCAAGCTTCATGCAGGCATTTCAATATTTCTTTCAAAATAAATAGACCATATGAAATTTTAAATAAAGAGTATAGTTAAAAAAATGTGTTTACCTAAAAATCATATTTTTAATAATAATATTTAAAATATTTTGCTAAAATTTTAAATGGTTTAATATATTCTTATCTGATATATAGGATGGGACTAAAATTTATTATTGAAATTCAGTTAACCTCCAATCTTTTAAAATTATCAAATAAGAAAAATATTAATACTTTTCTTGTGAAATTATAAAATATTAATTTAAATGGTAAAATAATGAATAAAAAGCTTAAAAAATTCAAAAAGAAATAATTTATAGTTTTTTATCATTTGTTAATTGACAGATCTCTTTTCTTTAATTGACATTTGTCAGATTAACGATAAAAATAATAATCGTATCAATTATTGGATTTAAGAATATAATTCAAGTCAAAAACTACCTTCCAAAAATCAATACTTCCCCAAAAAATTAATGCCTTTTAGCTAACTCAAACTAAATTAAAACTATATGTTGTATCTTATCAGCAACATAAGATTTGCAATCTAATTTTAAATAGTTTTTAAATTTTTCAAAAGGGGGCATATCATATTTTGTGACATCCCCTTCCTTCATCCTCATTCCTATTTATTAGTAAACGAAGTGCTGGATGGTGTCAATTCTTCATAATGGTAAAAGGAAAAATTTAAACATCTTGTTTTATAAAAATACTACATAAAGGATACAAAATGAAATATATTAAAAAAAAAATAAGAATATATTTTAAAAAAGCACATATTTGAATCACTTAAAAAATGTGAGCTTAATAATCTCTTCTCCCCACATAAAACAAAAAAACTTTATAAACCTTTACAACCTTTATAATAATTTCAGATCAATGCAGAATTTCATTTTTTTGTAACTACACTTGGCAAAACTCCTTGTGATATTTTAGGGGGAATTACTATGATGTTAGCGGCTGGACAAGTCTACAACGTCCTTATGAAAATCTATACTAACACCTATGAATTTATATAATTATCCGAGAATTAATATGCCGGGAATCTATATATTTGTCAGCAACGTTGGATATTAAAGAATGGAAACCAATAAATAGATTTTTAACGGGCAAACAAATTCCCGGAAAACAAAAATATTATGCATTTATTGCAATCGAAGGAAAAATGAAAATCATATTTTATTCTAATTTATTCGATTATTTAGTATATGATATTATTAATATGTTTATTATAATATTAATCCATTGCTATTCATGTAATATAAATAATTAGCTAAATAAGTTATAAATATTTTTACAATTATTTTCTTTCTAAAATAAAATAGGTAAAGTTAGGCGTCAAATTTGATACAATGTCTATTAATGATCTGCATAGGGCCTAATTTTTCAAACCCGACCTGAAGGATTTATAAAAAAATATATCCGGACCGATCCCAAACAATTTTTTTTATTTGTCCAGAAAAGCAAGACCCGAAATAAAAATTATTTGTCCTCGGACCTAATTTATTATATAGAAATTATTATTTTTTTCAATAGAGTTTTACATTCCACTGAACAAAATTAAGTTTATGATTATTCTACAAACAAATAAAAAAATATTAGCTACTTATTTCTTGCAAAAATGTTAAAATAAATTTTTTTATTTAAAATTTAAGCCTGATAAAAATATTAGGCCTGACCCAAAGATCATCCATGTTGTCCACTTATTTTTTTATTTGTCTAAATTTTTTAAGTTTCATTTTTATTTAAAAATTTGAAAAATTGACTATATATTTTAATATATGTATTTTGGAATTTTTGAGTTTCTATATATCTCGTGAATTAAGCTGAATTGGGAATTAAAATTTCACATTTTTACTTTGTGCATACTACCATACCATCATACAAATTTATCGAAGAGGGTCGCGTTAATCTTTAGTTAATTTTATATGAAACACATATACATATATATATATTTTAGAGGCAATGTTTATATCGGCCAGTATTGAAAGCATTATTGAAATCAAGTTTTAAAACTACGTAATAGGGAATGCTATCTGCAAAAGTTGTACGAGCGAGATATAGCAAAAATTTCTGCTCCAGGAACGCAAAATCCTAATTGATGTTACAACATAAATGAGGAAAGAGATTCCTTAATATGTGAAGCAATTTTTGAAGCAGCTTTTCTGAAGAAAGAGCCTACTGGGATTAGTCGAATTTCTCCATCCTTTATTTAAAACTATTAGACGCACAAAAAAAATAGGAATGATGGATGCTATGAATAGCATGCTACAATGAACTCATAGTTGTTAGCTAAATAGTTTTCAGAAGTCATAAAACGAAGGGCTGAGTTTATTTTAAGGCTATTTATTTATTTTGAAACGATTTTGGCCCTACGTGGATATAGTTTGGTGAGTGTGAGGTGTAAGACTGGTATACACGGTTTGATATAGGATATTTAATGCATTTGGATAATATGATATATTAATTTTTGTATTTAATGGGATTGGTAGAGCTTAGTAATTTTTTCCAATTTGTAAGGTTTTCCTGATTGTTTGCAATTAAATGGATTATTTTATTGAAGAATTCCGTGAAAGAATTACGTGGTCCTTGGGAGTTTGATGTTGGGTAGTTATAAAATTGGTGTATGATTGTAGGTGAGGTGCTTGTTGTGTTAGTGGTGTGAAAGTAGCAACTGTATGGGAGATAGGCTTACTAAATTTAATAGACTAAAAGGACGAGGAGCTATAGGTGTTATGCTTGGAAACCCTGCTCTTGGCATCTAGAGAATAGAAGTCCGTGTAAATACTAATCATTTCTAGATATTGATAATATTCCAATACCGATTTTCCCTTTTAAAACTTTTATTTAAAAAAGCCTCTAGGCAAAACAGAAATAAGTATTAAAAATTAGTCGAATTTAAATAAAACGATTGTCATTATAATAAAAAAAAAATTTTTTTGAACTAAATAAAAGGTTTGGGTAGTTGAATAGTATAACAAACATTTGGAAAAGTTTACGTCGAAGTAACAATTTTATTTGCTCCTTGAGAGAAAATTAAAATTTTTAAACAAATGATTTTAAAACTGATAAAAATTTGATAATTGAAGTATTATAAAACTTTTGGAATTAGTTTGACATAAAGATTGCCAATCTTAATAGTTCCACATGGGAAAAAATTTACATTTTCAAAAATAGTCTTATAAACCTGATAACTCTTTTTACTTTGTTAAATTTAAAACTTACTAGTAATGAAAATTGGCACTATTTATGTCACCCAAAAGTTTTGCAGATACGTTGTTATAAATGATTAAAAAAAACATTATTAATCTTTCTAAAAATATTTAAAAATCACTTTAGTCATTTTTTAAATAAAATATTATTTCAATAAAGCTACTATAATTTTCAAAGTTTTTACAGGCAATTTATAAAACAAGCTTGTTCTTGATCATTCAAAAATAAGATAGAAGGCTCCATGTCTTCAAAATTTTTCCAGAATCAATAACGAGTGAGTAGGCTATGTATATTAGAAGCTATGATGCTGATAAATATATATCCATGTAGTGTGTTGTAGATAACCTCGATTTAGCATTATCAAATTCTCGAGATTTCGCATATAAATGACAAAAATTTTTGGCCTTGATCTAATCTTGCTTTGAGAAAAATAATATTTATTTTGGCAAAATTCTATATTTAATCGTTTTTTAAAAGACTAATTATAAATTCGACAATACTACCAAGTTTATTGTAGCACATTCCTATTCATATTAGAGATCTGCAATTACCGCCCCGACACGGTTGGCCTGGGCCGGGTAATGCTGGAAATTATTTTTTTTAGGCCAGGACAGACGAAATAATTATCCGGCCTGGCCGGAGGTGCAAAAAGTAGAAATATTCGACGCGCTTTAAAGAATAGAAAAAAAATTATTTTAAAGACTACAATTGTTAAATCAATATATTTTATTTTGCGTATAATTTTAATAATTAAGTGACCTGCTACCAGAGTTGGGCTGTACTTCAAATATTTATATCTATGATACATTCTTTTAATGAATATGGAAACCTAATGATTTTGACAATTTTTATGAGAATGACTTAATAGGATTTAGTTAAATAAATGATGGTTAGTAGTATTTTTTTTCAATTTTTTGTTGATTATTTTTAAATGAAATAAAGAATATTTTAGTATACTGAAGTGTTTTATTAAATAAGTAAAATAAGTAAAGTAAGTAAAAGTATATTTAATACAAAATATCACGTATATATATATAATGAATTCAATCCTTCATGTTATGTAATTTACAAACGAAAAGTTAATATTATATTCAATTTAAATTCAATTTACAATTACATTTATATTACAGTTCTCCCCACTATAAATTGAATTCATCGTGATAACGTAGTGGGGGTTTCGAAACTCTTTTTTCAAGAGTTGTATTCTCATGTTCTGCCTTTTCCACTTCTTCGGTCAACGTAACGGGTATTTCCTTCTCTTGTGTATGTGCATCCCTCAATTGATCTGTATGCTTGTTTTTAACGATCCCCTCTGATTCCACATCGTACAATATTGCGCCTTTTCGTTGTAACACTTTTCCTTCATGCCACCCTGCTGTCCTTTCGTTTGCTATCCAAACTTTTTGCTGCTCTTCAAACTCCCGAGGTTCAACACTTCTATCTTTGTAGTACTTTTGTTTCCATAGAGCGTTTTCCGTCCTTTCTCTCGTTGATAATTTCCACTAATCTAATGTCGTCCTAAGCGACCTTCCAAACATCATCTCGGCAGGGGATTTACCAGTAGTTGCATTGGGAGTATTACGGTGAGTAATTTAAATATTCGCTAAATTTAACTGGTCCGGAGTTCCACATCTCCTTCCAGCATAGAAACGCGTCTTTATCGTCCGTATATATCGTTCAGCCAAACCATTCGATTTGGGGCTATAAGGGGCCGATCTAAAATGTTTTATATTGTTTTTAAAAAGAAACGTTTTGAATTCAGATCCAGTAAACTGAGTACCGTTATCTGAGACAATGTAGCGAGGTAACCCAAATCTAGCGAAATAATTACGCAGATTATTTATTACACTCGCCGAATTAATATGTGTTAAAATTGCAACTTCAACCCATTTGGTAAAAGCGTCTACGCAAATTAACCAAAACTTTCCAGATACGGGGCCTGTCAAATCAATGTGTAATCGTTCCCAAGGTCGGGTAGGAATGTTCCAATTGTATAATGGCACTTCTTTAGCTCCCGGCCTTCCTTCTTGACAACTCTTACAACATTTAACAAAGTCTTCAACATCAGTATCGAGATTTGTCCAAAAAACGTAATATCTACACAATGATTTTATCCCTACTATCCCAGGATGTCCTCGATGAATCACATATAAAACCTCCTTTTTTAAAATATATGGAATAATAATTCTATCATTATAAAATAATAATCCTTCTTCGAACGAAATATTATCTTTAAATCGAAATATATTTTTTTACAATCTCCGAATAATTATTTATATTATCAATATACCAATGATTTTTTATTAATTTAATAATCTCTTTTAGGTTTATATCATTGCTCGTTTCACTTCTTTACTGCGAGTGAAAGATAAATCTTCTATTAAATTAATTTTTAATCCTCTGATTTCTTCTTCGATTTTTTTTGTAACATCATTGGTTTTTGCTTTCTCTACCCCCAAACGGGACAGAGCATCGGCACATTTATTTTGATTACCTGGTCTATAAATTATCTCATAATCATAATTTAATAGTTTCGTCGCCCACCGTATTAAACGGTTATTTGTTATTTTGTTAAGATCTCTTTTATCACCTAAAATATATTGTAATGGTTTATGATCAGTAACCAAGATAAAATGTCTTCCAAAAATATATTGATGAAATTTCTCGATAGCGAATATGATTGCCGAAGCCTCCCGATCAATTGTGGCATAATTCTTTTCAGCTGCCGAAAGTGTCCTCGATGCGTAAGCAATCGGTTTCTCCTGGCCAGTAAGAAATCGGTGTGCAATAACAGCTCCTAGACCATCTTCGGAAGCGTCATAAGAAATCACGACAGGGATATCGGCTGAATAAGGAATTATTCTATCTTCTTTTGACAATATGTTTTTAACTTTAGTAAATATTTCATTTTCTTTAGCTGACCAAAACCAACCAACATTTTTACTCGTTAGTCGGTGTAAAGGCGCACAAATAGAATGCAAATTTTTAATAAATGCCTCATGATAATTCACTATTCCAAGAAACATTGGAAGGTGTTTTAAAATTTTTTATAGCGCTAATCTTATCTTCTGTAGGGTGAATTCCGAAACTGTCAATAACATGACCTAAATAAGTGACTGACTTTTCTCCGATTTTAATTTTATCAATCGTCGTGGTCAGTCCAGCCTTCTCAAATCTTCTTAATACTTCTTCCAAATTAACTATGTGATCGGAATTATTCTCACCTGCAATAATTATGTCGTCTAAAAATACACTAACCATAGGAATTCCCTTTAATAGGTTTTTCATAAAGCGTTGGAATATTATCGGAGCGCTAGTCAAACCAAATGGAATTCTTTGGTATCGGTAATAACCGACATGTGTCGAAATTACTAAAAGGTCCCTACATTCTGGACTAACTCCGAATTGTAAAAATGCATCTCTTAAATCTATTGTCGAAAATATTTTACCACCCGCGATCTTATTTGTTAGGTCGACGAAAGTTGGTATTAAATCGTTATCGATCGCTAGATATTTGTTGATTGTTAAACGAAAATCTCCGCATATCCGTACGGCACCGGATTTCTTTAAGATATTAACCGTTGGCGTAGCCCAAGTGATTGGAGTTATTGTTGGATCCACCTTCTCGATAACGCCTTCGTCTAAAAGTCTGTCCAACTCAGCTTCAATGGTTCGACGCAACGGAAAAGAAACTCTTCTTGCTGGTAATGCAATCGGTAACGTGTTCGGTTCTATTCGGATGACTGCCTTTTGCAGTTTGATTTCATCTAATTTTTTTTTAAAAACTTGAGGGAATTTTGAAGCAATCGTATTTAAAGAGGGAACATTCATATTTATTTTATTAATACGAACTTCTTCCGGTAGTTTTATATCAAATTCTCTGATGAAAGGTATCCCAAAAATAAGGGAATTCTCCCCTTTGACTACCCAAATAAGTAAAAATTTCGAAATATTTTTTACTTTGACTTCTACGGTACATTTACCTAGTACTTCGATTTGGATATGATTATAACCCACTAATTTATAAGCCGGTGATAGTTGTGGTCTGCCAATACGATTCCAGGTGACCTCATCAATCACACTACACGCGGCGCCGGTATCAAACTCCATAGCTAGCTGCAACCCATTTATCTTCGCATCGATGGTTGCTTTATTTGAAAATGACAGGCGAGGTGTCCGTGGCAGAATCATTTGTATGGCCTGGGTTCTACAATCTTTAGCTATGTGGTTTGCCTTACCGCAACGAAAGTATATCACTTTCTTTTGAATAGAGTTAGGTTTAATACTAGGTCTAAAATTATTATTAGGAATATAATTGTTACTAAAGTGTTTATTATTATTGAATCTATTGACGTTTGTATAATTATTATTTCTAAAATAATTATTTTTCGAACCCTGTGTTGGCTTATTTTTAATTATTTTATTAACTTCAATCTGGGTTTCATTTTCCAACGAAGACAGCGCGATCGCTAAACGCACGGTCTCTTCAAAAGTAATATTGCCTTCGATATACTTTGACCGAAGTTCTTTGTCCAACTCAGGTAAGCCTACTCCTAGGATAAATATATCTCTTAAAAGTTCATCAAAAGGCGGTTTAAAATTACAAAGAGAACAGACAGT